TGACGTAAAAATTTAAAAAGAAAATAAATTTGAAATATTTTTCGAAAGCATCTTTTTGGGGAGTGATGTAGGAAGTAGGAGTGGTATGGGTTGGGTGAGGTAAAAAAAAATCTTAAAATTTGAAACACTTTTCGAAAGTAATTTTTAATGTTTTTTTGTTTGTTTGTGGAGTGGGGGGTGGGGGAGGGGGGGCTTGTTTGGTGGTAGGGATAAAATTATATTTGAAATTTAAAAATAAGAAAATTAAAAAAATTAAATATTTTTTTGAATGGGAAGGGTCGGGTACGGGGTATGGGTAGGTAAAAAAAAATATTAAAGGATGAAGTAGAGTTTTGGAAAATGTTTTCCTTAATTCTGGAAGGCAAGTCATTTTCCTTAAATTTGAGGAAAATGAGTTAGTTTGGAAAATATTTCGAGAAAATATTTTCCTCCGTACCAAACACACCCTTAATGGACCCATGGCCCAAACTATTTACCCACTTACCCATTTTTCTTCTTTCTTATTTCATGCATGATGTCAACATGACGTCAACATCACTATACTATGAATTAATCATGTGTGATTGTCACGGCCCAAGGGTACCCCCTAGACGTAACAAGGCACATAATACTCCTAAAGACACCATGTAAGCCACTTAGCATATCATAACATAAGTAAAGAACAATAAAGAGTAAAACGCATTTTTCAAGTCTTAAGAAGTTTCATAAAAACAAAGCGGAAGTCTAGACTTATCTCAATTAGCCATCTATTACAATCGAAGTATCAAATAGGGTCACAGCCCTTACAAAAAAATTCGAAAGTCTAGTACAACGAAAGAAAGGAACTACAAGGTATCACTCTTCCTCGGATCCATGAGGACTCACCACAAGCTAGGAGAATAGTCGATCCAAGCTTGTATCAAAGGAAGATCACCTCAAACATCAGAACCTACACTTTGTGGAAAATGTAGAAAAACATGGGTTAGTACAAAAATGCACTAAGTATGATAGTCATGCATAAAATCCTTGAAAACATGCAAAAAAGGATATTTTAGTTAAATGCATGCAATTTGTAAGTTAAAACCTCATTTAGAAGACAATGAAAGAGCATAAGTCATAAGCATGTTCAACATTTAGATCATCATAGCATAATGGAAACATACCATAAGTACCCTCAAAGTCTACTTGTGCAATGCATGAGTAAGATCCCATAATCCTACCCATACTAAGTAAAGCTTCTTGAGTAGTCATAGTTCATAGTTCATATCCTTGTTCATATTTCATCAGTGGGAATACGCCTTAACCGACATAGACCATGTGAGCTAACATGGAATCCGGTGTCATGCCCCACACCGAAAAGAGGTGTCCTACTTGCCTAAGGTAGAACTAACATGCATTAGATTTTAGGTGGATCCACTAGCTAAAGACCTATGAGGGCACATAGTTATAGGATAAAGAGACTGCTACTAAAAACCCCAACCTCACTTAACGGGAAAGCTTCCATCTAATGAGATTACCTCTAGAAACCCGACCTTACTTAACGGGAGAGCCTCTATCTCATATTCAATATACACTCGGTGCTAAGCATTACTTCCCACAATTACATGTTTAGTCTTGCATTAAGTTCATATGCATGGAAGAGTACTGACAAAGAAGAAAGTTGAGGTCCAAAGCAGAGATATAATAGTCCAGACGCTACAAGATGAATTGGGAGAAAAAAAGTATTTGCTTGTCCTGGATGATATGTGGCGAGTTAACTCTACATCATGGCATGAGTTCATGGACACGTTGAGAGAAATCAATACGTCCAAAGGAAACTACATTCTCGTGACTACCCGTATTAAACAAGTGGCATCCACAATAGCAGTAGATCTTCATATGTTGAGAAGATTAGCTAGAGATCATTGTTGGTCCATTTTCAAACAAAGAGCGTTTGTTGATAGGGAAGTTCCAGAAGAAATACTGAGTGTGGAGAACAAGATTGTTGAAATGTGTCAAGGTCTACCATTGGCTGCAAGTGTGTTAGGAGGCCTCATATGCAACAAGGATAAACATGAATGGCAGGCAATTCTTGATGGCAACCCCCTTGTTGCAGGTGAAGATGATAACGGGGAAAATAGCATAAAGAAAATCCTAAAACTCAGCTATGATTATCTACCATCTCCACATCTGAAGAAATGTTTTGCTTATTTTGCGATGTTTCCAAAAGATTTTGAGTTTGAGAAGGACCAACTAATACAACTCTGGATGGCAGAAGGGTTTCTTCGTCCTTGTCAAGAGACCCCTGTGATGGAAGACGTCGGGAACAAGTTTTTCCAACTCTTATTGCAATATTCCTTGCTGCTAAATGTTGAGCTAGATGTGCACAACAATACAATATGTAAGATGCATGATCTTTTGCATGATTTGGCTGGAGATATTTTGAAGTCTAAGTTATTTGATCAAAAGAGTGTTGGAGCAGAAAATCTTTCTCAAGTTCGATACTTTGGATGGGACTCACCAAGTGATCAAATAGATAAGATAAATGAGCCAAGACGTTTGTGCACATTGTTCTGGAAAAGCAACATATCTGATGATATGCTATTGAGCTTTCAGTTCTTGAAAGTTTTAAATTTGTCCGGATCAGGCATCGAGGGGTTGTCAGCCAAAATCAGCAAGCTAATATACTTGAGATATCTTGATCTCTCCAACACTGAGATCGAAGACTTACCCAACTCCATTTGCAAGCTCTACAATTTGCAAACTTTTAGAGTCAATAACTGCTTTTCACTCAGGAAGCTTCCAGAAGAAATGGAAAATATGATAAGTTTGAGACACATATATTGCAACTATCATTACCAATTAGATATTCAGATGCAATTAATATGGGGCAATTGACTAGTCTTCAGACGCTACCATTTTTCTATGTAGGTTTGGAGAAAGGTCGTCGAATAGAAGAATTAGGTCATTTGAAAAACCTTAGAGGTGAATTGACTATCAAAGGTCTCCAATTAGTCAGAAATACAGATGAGGCTCGAACAACATATTTACATGAGAAACCAAATATCTACCAGCTGGTGTATTTATGGTCCCATGATGAATCAGAAAGCTGTGAGATCAATGATGAGTGTGTGTTGGATGGTCTTCAACCGCATCCTAACTTGAAAAACTTAGAAATGGAGAACTATTTGGGGACTAGTTTTCCTTCATGGTTCAGTGAGGAATTGCTACCAAATTTGGTCGAGTTGAAATTAAGTTGTTGCAAAAGGTGCAAAGAAATTCCATCGCTTGGCCAACTGAAGTTCCTTCGGCATCTTGAGTTGATAGGATTCCTTGAATTGGAATGCATCGGACCTAAATTTTATGGTGTCGAGATTAATGATAATGGATCACGCAGCAATAATGACAATATCCAAGTGTTCCCGTCATTGAAAGAACTAGTATTAGAGGATATGCATAGCCTTATTGAGTGGAAGGGAGATGAAGTTAGAGTAAGAATGTTTCCTGGGCTTGAGAAGTTGAGGATTACAGAGTGTCCACTGTTAAAAGGTACTCCAACTCAATTTGAAATCCTGCGTGAATTAAGAATTGAAAGAGTTGACAGTGAAATGCCATTGTTGAACTTGTGCAGCAACTTAACATCTCTTGTGGATCTTGTTGTCAGTAACGTGAAAGAGCTCACGTGTCTTCCCGATGAGATGCTACGCAACAATGTTTCTCTTCAACACCTATCAGTCTCAGAATGTGGAGAGTTTCGTGAATTGCCACAAAGCTTGTACAATCTCCATTCTCTTAAGAGGTTAGAGATTACCAGCTGCACCAATTTCAGTTGTTTTCCTGTTCCCAGTAGAGAAAATTATTTGACTTCCCTCCAAAGTCTTGAGTTATGTTATTGTGATATATTGACCAGTTTACCAAGTGGAATGCTAGATCATTGTCTGTCTTTGGTATCTTTGAATGTCTTCCATTGTAACAACTTAGTTCCCTTCCCTTTACCCTCAGGGGGCCTTCACCGCCTAGGGATATTGCGAATTGGTCCTTTCTCAGAGATGGTGAATTTTGAGGCATTCCAATTGATTTTTAATGGCATTCAGCAGTTGTTGTCCCTTCGTAGGCTGTGTGTGTACGGACGTTTGCACTGGGATTCTCTGCCCAGTCAGCTTATGCAACTCTCTCACCTAACACATATCTATATATATGATTTCGGAATTGAGGCTCTTCCTCATAGTCTTGACAACCTCACTTCTCTTGAAACATTACAACTAATGAGGTGCAAACAGCTACAACATCTGGACTTCTCAGATGCCATACCCAAATTACGGTATCTGCGGATGTATGATTGTCCATTGTTAGAAGGCATGTCGGATGGGCTCGGCAACCTTTTTTCTTTGAAACAGTTAAGTTTTTGGAACTGTGAAAAACTAGATCATCTGCCATCCAGAGATGCCATGCGACGCCTCACTAAATTATGGAACCTGGGCTGCCCACAGTTAGAAGAAAGTTGCACCAATCAGAGTAGTGCAAACTCCCAGTGGTCCAACATTTCCCATATTCCAAAAATTGAAGTAGGTGGAAGCATAATTCAGGACAGACGTAAGTCTCTGTTTCTCTTTCACTTTCCGAGTCGATTTTTAAAATATTATTTTCCACGAGTTCCAGAAAAGAACTTATGTATGCAATTTAATACTCCTACTTTTTCCTTTTTGACATTATAAATGCAAATTATCAATCAATTGAATATGTGCTATGCTTTCTCTAAATTGTTGTTCTTCTAATTCTTCAAGTGTGGTATATCTTGATAATGATTCAATCATGAACATTTATGTGTTTTTTCCTAATAGGTTAGTACTTTCAAGGTCATGCTAGAACGTTGTTGTGGTAAATCAAGACAAATCCCTTGAACTACAGGTAATTATGTTAGGTAAATTTTCATTTTAGAATTTGTAGAAATTTTGTAATTATCAGTGCATAAGTTACTTTGTACAGCTATTAGATAAAATTAGTTAATTACTGTTTTATTAGTCATTAGTTACTATTGATTTTCACCATCAGTTTACTGCTGCTCTTTTACTATTTGACTAGTTCTCTAGCAGTGTTTTTAGGCTTAGCATTATCTCCCCATGTTTTGGAGTTAGTTTAGGAAATTGTTAGACCATCGTGTAAATTTATTTCCATTCCAGCAATAAGAATAATGAATTTCCTCTTCAGCTTATCTTGTTTCTTTAGTAATCTACCAGTTTTTTTGTCTTTCTTTCTGTTGGGAACCAATTTTTGGAGGTCCCTGCATGTCTTAATCATGAAATTTGTGTTTCTGCTCATAGGTTACTAGATACTAGGTCATGGTAGAACGTTGTTGTGATATATCAAGTCAAAATCTATGGGGAGCAATCACGTTGGGTATTTTAATTTAATTGTTAGAGGAATGCTATAACAAGTTTATAAAGTTCTTTTTTACATTCCTTTTATCTCATGATACAACGGGGTTTGTTATGTTCCATAGAGGAACCACCATTTTTACTTGAACCTTTTTTTTCCAACTCGATCTTCTATAGGTAACTTCTTTTATATCATCCCTGAAAAGGAAAAAATTACTTGTTTTTGAAGTTATTTTTATGCACAGACTGACCAGATAGGAACAAGTAACTCAACCGGTGCTCACAACAGTGACTCAAATGCATTGCAAAGGTTGCTCTATAGTTTATTTACTTTTACAGATTAAATTTTACTGGAAGTGCAAAATGAGATTACCTCCTTTCAGGTCTTGTTATGGTATTGAACAACCTTTTCCGGGAACTGAACTCTATAATATGAAACATCAAAATATTCAAAATGTGTAGGGTGTTCAATGAGCCTGTCTTTTCATGGACATGTTTTGCAATTTTTTTATTTGACGAATAAAATCTGATATCTACTCTCATCAGGACTTGGTATTTAACTTTCTGTGAAAGTCTGACCCCTCCCCTCTCCCAACACGTATGAAATAAGAAGTATTTGTCATATCTATTCAGGTGCTATGATGAAGATACTGAATGGTGATAACTCCATGAATGGAGATTAATCCTTGGAGAATTCACAGAGCATTTGAGAGAAGAAGAAGGAAGAAGATTGTATTAATGTCTTGATTCAGTGAATCTGTACATACATGCTTATATATACTACTCTTACTATGAATGAATACAAAATATCTCTAACAACTTTGTAACTAACTATTGCCATGTCATCAGCTAGTAACTAACTCTTGGAATCTTCTAACTAACATAAGCTTGGTTATTTCTGCATTTGCTAACACTCCCCCTCAAGCTTATGGTTGAAATATATTTTCATTCCAAGATTGCTTAGTAGTAGATGGTGTTGTCCTTGTCCAAGACTCTTTGTGAGCAGATCAGCAAGTTGATTCTTGGTGTTAATATATTCTGTCTTCAGTACTCCTTGACAAATTCTTTCTCTTACAAAATGACAGTCTATGTCTATGTGTTTTGTACGCTCATGGAAGATCGGATTAGCTGCTATTTGTATTGCTGCTTTGCTATCACATACCATTTTTACTGGTACTGTTATGTTGACTCCCAACTCTTTGTATAAGCCTAACAACCATGTTATTTCAGCTGCACATGTGGCCATGCTCCTGAACTCTGCCTCAGCTGAGCTTCTTGACACAGTCCCTTGCTTCTTAGACTTCCATGATATTAATCCTCCTCCAAACTTCACTAAATACCCTGTAACTGATTTTCTTGTTTCAAGACATGCCCCCCAGTCAGAGTCGCAGTAAGCTGTTAGCTGTGTAGTTTGTTCTGCTGGCATTAGTAATCCTAGACCAGGTGTTTCTTTGATGTATTTTACTGCTCTTAATGCTGCCTCCATATGTGACTCCTTAGGACAATGCATGAACTGGCTAAGAACTTGTGCAGTAAAAGCAAGATCCGGCCTAGTCATAGTCAAATAAAGAAGTTTTCCTACCAACTTTTGATACATTTCAGGATTAGCAAGTGGTTTATCATGGTCAGGACTTGAACCATTCACATGCTCATCATATTGAATTGATGTGAGTCTTTTGTTCAGCTCCAAAGGTGTATGAACTGGCTTTGCTCCTCCTAGTCCAGTTTCAGACAGCAGCTCCAAAGCATATTTCCTCTGTGTCATTAGGATGCCCTTGTCTGATCTAGAAAACTCAATGCCTAAGAAGAATTTTAATTCCCCTAGGTCCTTCATTTTGAACTTCTTTTGAATTTCCTGTCTTGTATTACATAGGAGTTGGTGGTTGCTTCCAGTGACTAGAATATCATCTACATACACCAATATCACCACAATATCATCCCCACTTTGCTTTGTGAATAGAGAGTAGTCATAATGACTTTGTTTGAACCCCATCTAGACTAGTGCATCAGTTAACTTCATGTTCCATTGTGGAGGTGCTTGTTTCAAGCCATACAATGACTTGTGGAGTTTGCAGACCTTGTGACTCTCCCCCTGTCTAGCAAAACCACAGGGAATGTCCATGTAGACCTCTTCATGCAAATCACCATTCAAGAAAGCATTGTGGACATCCATCTGATATATAAACCATCATTTGGAAGCAACCAAAGCAACCACAGACCGGACAGTCACCATCTTTGCCACAGGACTAAAAGTCTCACCATAATCAAGCCCTTCTTGTTAACGAAAACCTCGAGCCACAAGTCTGGCCTTGTACCTTTCAACCTCCCCAGAAGCTAAGTACTTAATTTTATATATCCATTTGCAGCTAATAGGCCTCTTGCCAGGTGGTAGATCCACTATGCTCCAAGTCTGATTGCTGTCCAGAGCATCAATCTCTGCTTGCATAGCCTGTCTCCATTTAGGATCAGTAGCAGCATCCTTAAATGAACTAGGTTCAGAAACAGCTGAGTAAGCACTCAAGGCCATTCTATATGTCGAAGACAAGTGATTGTAAGATAGGTGATCTACTAGTGAATAAGAACAGGCAGGAGACTTAGGCTTAGAAACAAAGTCCTGCAGCCATAGAGGTGGCTTGGTGGACCTTGATGACCTTCTAGGAAGCACCTCAGGAGCTGGAGGAAGCACCTCAGTAGTTGGAGGAAGCACCTCAGTAGCTGGAGGAAACACACCAGTAGACTCAGGTGAGGCTGATCTAGCACCACCAATAGAGAAAGAAAGTGGAGATGAAACCACTGGATGTGGGACAGGAGAGACATAGTCCATAATTGGAAACATAGCATTAGGTGAGGCTTGGAGATGTCGGTAAGGAAACAAATCTTCTTGAAACACCACATGCCAGAGAACATTTTAGCATGAATATCATAAAGAATATAGCCCTTTTGTGTGGAGGAGTATCCCATAAACACAGTAGGAACAGCTCTTGCAGAAAACTTATTAGGTTTCTGAGGACTTGCAGCATAACACAAACACCCAAACACCTTGAGATGAGCCAAGTCTGGAGGATGCCTGTACAACTTTTCAAAAGAAGATTTGTAGCCTAGTAATTTTGTAGGGATTCGGTTTAAAATATAAACAGCAGTGAGAACACATTCCCCCCAGAATCTCAAAGGTATAGAAGCTTGAAACCGTAAAGCTCTGTCCATATCAAGGATGGTTCTGTGCTTTCTTTCAGCAACCCCATTTTGCTGTGGGGTATACACACAAGTAGTTTGATGTAGAATGCCCATGTTACTCAATAGAGTTTGAAACGCAGTGCTGAGAAACTCACAGCCATTATCAGACCTTAACGTTTTAACACTTGTGGAAAATAAGTTTTGAACTCTTGTAAGAAAATTCTATAGAGCAACTATCGAATCAGCTTTTGAAGCAATCAAAAAAACCCATGTATATCTGCTGAAGTCATCTACAATAGTAACAAAATACTTATTTCCATTGTGAGTAGGAACTTTATAAGGTCCCCACAGATCACAATGAATCAATTCAAATACAGCAGTAGTGTTATGAACACTTAAAGGGAATGGAAGTTTAGATTGTTTAGCTACAGAGCACACAGTGCAATAAGAACAATCTGTGAAGTTTAGGGATTTGAGAGACTCATGCCTCCTTATTACATCAATCGGAGCATGTCCTAATCTCCTATGCCAAACGTCACTAGAACAGACTGATCAGATACAGGAGATACACTAGTAGTGTGAACTAACTGATGGGAACTAGACTTGTGACTTGATTCTTCATGAAGAATGTAAAGGCCATGCTCTTCTTTACCAATCCCCTTCACCTGACCAGTGGAGAGGTCCTGGAAAATGCAAAAATCAGGAAAGAATGCTACCATGCAATTAAGCTCCTTAGTGATCTTGGACACTGATAGTAAGTTAACTCTGAAGTCAGGCAGATATAATACATTTGATACAGGCTGGTTTGTAAACAGGCATGTGCTACCAATGTGAGAAACGACAGTAGTGTTACCATTAGGCAGATAAACCTCATTTTGTGCATCAGTAATAGATACAGTACTAGTGTCTAATGTGTCAAGATTGGAGGTGATGTGATGAGTAGCTCCAGTGTCTACTACCCATTCGCCTGCATCATATGAACACAAAAGAGCAGAAGTATGTATACCTGCATCTACAGAAGCCACCTTGGCAGAAGAATCTACTGTGTTATCACCTCCATTCTTGGATAAGAGCTGGAGAATTTGTTGATACTGGTCCTGAGTGATAAAACCTCCAGAAGTTTGAGCTGCAGTTGAAGAAGTTCTTGACTCAGTGCTGAGAGGTGTATCAACCTGATTAGCATAAGCTCCAGTAGTCTGGCCTTTCCTCTTTGACTTAAAATCAGTTGGATATCCAACAATTTTGTAACATTGTTCCTTAGAATGACCCTTGCAACCACAGTGATCACATTGCAACAAATGTCTCCTATTCTTGTAAGCAGTGACATGGCATTGATGTGGCGCAAGTGTGATACACCTCCCATTGTGAGAGTGGTGCTACACGTATTAGGGGGTAAAAATATTCACTATTTAGTAGCAGAGGTGTGTAATAGGTCACTATATTAGTTTTAAGTGTGTAACTGACTTTTTGAGACAAGTTTGGGGGTGAATTTTTGCCTTTTCCCTCTAACAAAATATGTCTTGTACAAAGAGGATGCCCAAATGAAAATCTTACTTGATTCATGGACAAGAGAATGTAGTAGCTTGAAAAACACAAATGAAATACCTGGATGCGTAACAGAGATTTGGGTGCAATCTCAGGGACCAACTCTAAAGAATTCATATTGTGATCAACTTCCATTAATAGTAACCTACCCTCAGGAGAATTCAAACCTCCGCTGCCTCCTTAGATTAAAGTGAAACAACTCAGATCCTAAGATTTTCTCAACAATACGTTACACTAAAAAATGAGACATTCATCATCAAACATAACAAGAATCACACCATCACAACACTATTTTCATATGTTTATCAATACACAAAAACATCATTACATTCTCATAATAAGCACGAGATTAAAACACCACGCCACACCACGATTTTTCTTTTGTCTTACTAACAATACAAGTAAATAACACCAGTCTTAACAATAACCAACCATAGTAGAAGAGCTCTAAAAGATGGCATGTACACTACATACTAACATAAGAATCAGGATATTTTGTATCACCTGTCAAATATTAAAAAAACAAATAATTATAACAAAGAAAATCAAAGTAGGGTTGGCCCAAAACAAATGTAAAGCATCATTTTTTTCATCATCACTTGTCTATATGATAGAAAGTGCAAACCTTGCTTTCGTGAAACACAAGTTTGCAATCACACGGGAGTAGAATTCCTTTAAGTTTAATGTTAACTCCATGAATGGAGATTAATCCTTGGAGAATTCACAGAGCATTTGAGAGAAAAAGAAGGAAGAAGATTGTTTTAATGTCTTGATTCAGTGAATCTGTACATACATGCTTATATATACTACTCTTACTATGAATGAATACAAAATATCTCTAACAACTTTGTAACTAACTATTGCCATGTCATCAGCTAGTAACTAACTCTTGGAATCTTCTAACTAACATAAGCTTGGTTATTTCTGCATTTGCTAACA